CAGTTTCAGCAGTGGCTGAATCTGGACGCCAGTTCCGACTTACATACAGATTCAACTTAAGAACAAACCTACAGTTCCTATCTTGTACGTAACCCGGGGACTGCCTGTACAAGATAACTGTGAAATTGACTGTACACGTTCGTGTGGTACAAATATTTTTTTTAAATACGATTGTAAACCACAAGGGCAATTCATTAAATGAGTTTCAGCAGTGGCTGAATCTGGACGCCAGTTCCGACTTACATACAGATTCAACTTAAGAACAAACCTACAGTTCCTATCTTGTACGTAACCCGGGGACTGCCTGTACAAGATAACTGTGAAATTGACTGTACACGTTCGTGTGGTACAAATATTTTTTTTAAATACGATTGTAAACCACAAGGGCAATTCATTAAATGGGAAGAGTATAACCTGAAACTACTTGTATTTGTTATTTTGAGATTAGATAGATAGATAGATAGATAGATAGATAGATAGATAGATAGATAGATATCTCAGAGTATCACTTAAAAATAGTGACTATATCAAAGTGTATGTTACCCTGACCAACCACAACAATTCGCTTGGGATTCATTTTTAGAACTGACAGAGACAGTAACATGACAATATTAAATCAAAGTTAAATTGGAAAAAGTCAGTAAGTTTAATTGACCTTAAGTTTCCAGCCTCCCTCATGCAGTCAAATATTGAGGTGAACTACCTTTACCAAAATGTAAGGACCTAGTTCTGCAAAGCACTGAACGTTTCCTGAAGAGCTTCTGACTAAAACAGTTAGTAAAATAAGGATGCTGAGCACCTCAAGAGAATCAGGGCCTATGAACGGTTAATCCATAAGCATCACCTTTAATGGTTACAATTAATTGGTGGTGGCTGGAGCAGCCCCCCACCCCAGTCCACCCCTGTTTAATCAGTTAACCGATTAAACAGGTTTACCCCATTAGCTAATAAAATGGGATTTTATATTCCTAGCCTGTATCCAGCCCCTGAAGCTTAGGGCTCCGCTCCCCTCCCCTCCCCCAGCATTGGGAAGTAGGCACCGGTACTCCAGACCTGCAGGCCCCTCATACCCCACTTCCCATGGGGTTGGAGCACGAACACCGGCTCCCTGCTGTGGGGAAGGGGTAAGGGAGGGAAAGAAGCAGGAGGGTAGCCCTGAGCCTTGTGGGATGGTCAGACAATCCAAGGCCGGATCCAATAGGAAGAGGAAGCGGCAGCACAGACAACCGAGGGAAAACAGCAGTGTAGCAAAGTGCTGCCTGGAGCTTTTCCCTTGCCACTCCCGATTGGCTGTAATCATGGCCAATAGGAGCAGCAGGGAGTGGTGCCTGGGAGCAGCAGGGGACACTGAGCCAAGTGTCTCTCTGGAGAGCTGCACCAGATAAGCACCCTCTATCCCCCAGACACTGCACCCCCACGCCGCTCCTGCGCCCTCCCCTCCTGCCCAGATACCCCATCCCTAGCCTGCTCCTGCACCGTACACCCTCCAAGACACACCTATCCCCAGCCCACTCCCAGACCCTCCCTCTCTCCAACCAAGACCCCATACTCTAAGCCCACTTCCCAGAAGCCCCTTCTCACACACTGAACCCCTCATTTTTGGCTCCACCCCAGAGCCTGGGGGTGCACAAAAACTACTATCTCAGATTCCCCTACGCTCTGGTGTGTGAGGAGAATGTGGGAAATGTCTTTCTGCTTTTTCAGCCAGGGGCCACATCAATAAGGGTTTTATTTCTGGGTTTTTGTTTGCTTGTTTTGCTTCCCGCTTCCGTGCACCCCTCCCGCCCCAAAAAAAGTTCCCCGCCCAAGTGTGTTTGCTTACTTAAAATACACACAGTGCCATAGAAAAAACACAAGACTTTTCAATTGGATCTGCTAAGCAAAAGGAGGTGTTGAATGGGTTCTGTAATGGTTAGAGTACAGATCAAGAGGAGAAAAGACCTTTCATTTTATTTGCCAAGATTAATTTAGTCAGTCATCAACAGTGGTTCAACTAATCAGACATTGCATGCTAATAATTACATTTGGTCAGATCATAAACATGTATCAGTAGCTGATAAAAAGCAGGCTGGCTTTCATTTTCTAAATTACCTTGCATGGGGAAATGGCTGATCATTAATAGAGTCCAGAAATAGATCTTTTTCTATGAACTCAGCAACATTTGCTAATAAAATATCACTTGAAATATAAAGCAGTAAACTCAATATCAGAAAGCTTACAGGAGAAGGAAAAGAAATACTGGTAGGCCAGAAGGACAGACATGATTTTTAAAAGTTAAGACAACAATTAATACTGCTTAGCCACATTTTGGGTAGCCTAGAAATGAAAGAAAACATTGACATTAAATATAAAAGTATATTGACGGCTATAGTTTTATTGCATGCACATTTTCAAACTTAAAATATAACAAACGTTATTTAAAAAATGAACAAAAAGCTCACCAGTGCGTTTGATGAACTGTACTCCTCTGCGGATTTGTCTGAAAACAAAACAGAACAGATGCAACAGGAAGTATTTTACATTGCTTGTATTGCTTTCCAAGTGCGCTAGGCACTGCACAAACCCATTGTGAGAGTCACTTCTCCTAAGAACTTTCAAGCTAAACAGAGGGCAGGAGAAAGGAAGAACTGTCCCTGTTTCACAGACGTGGAATCATGGCACAGAGCGATTAAGGGATTTACGTGACTTGCCCTGTGTCACACAGGGCATAGCACCAAGGATTCAACCCTGTTCTCCTGGGTCCCAGTCCAGACACCACATTAAGACCCATTAATACAATGGAAAACCCAAAAGGTGTTTTTCATCTGTCTTTAGTCTCTAAAGAATGCAGGGTTAGCAGATTCAGCACTTTAAATAAAAGGGGCAGGCTTAAAGTATGGTTCCATCTGTAGATATTCCATGGATTTGTCCCACTCCCAAATGTGACTCCTTTTGTTCTCAAGTGTCCCAAAATGCTTTCCAAGATATGCACATCATTTCACCCAGCACTGGAATGCAGCCATCTCAGATGCTGAGCCACTACCTGGAGTGTTTGGTAGGAAACAAGCCCTGTGACCTTTGGCTCCAAAAGCCTCTGCCCTCTGCTGAATGAGTTAAAGGAGTAACTCCATTAGCCAGCCGCAATAACAGGTTCTGATCCTCTCTGCAGGCTTTTCCAGAAGGCTGAAAAGTGACAATGAATAAGAGTCTGTGCAGTAGCACTCAAGAAACGAAGCATAGAGCACACAAACACTAGCAGGGTGTAGTAAGTTGAGGGTCAGTAACATGGAGTCAGCAGGCCTAAATAGAAGCCTGTAACATGAAAACAGCAACAGGCCTGCAATCTAGTGAGCAAGACTTTGGTTCAGTAACAGGAGCCAAGAAAGAGGCCCTATTGATAATTGTGTAAGTTAGGTTGAGCATGGAAGGACACAGGGAGGCACTGGGTACAGACTGTAAGCCAAAGGGGAGTATTGGAACATCTTAATAAGAAATGTCTTGTTACAAAAACTCCCTAAAAACTAATGCACATACCGACCTAGGTTCAGGACCAGGTCGGAATTGACAGCATGAAGGATAGTAAGTAAGCCCCCCTTCCGTAAGGTGAGGGGTGGTAACTAGGCAACAGAGGGTGGTAACCTGGTACGTAAAGAAATGATGTAAGTTGTTTGTACCTGTCTATAAAAGGACACCGCAGAGGGTGCTCTCCGGCCGACCTTGGGGGGGGGCGCACTAGGCGCCTGAACGGCAGGTGGCATTGCCTAAACTTACAGAGTGCACAGTAGCTTAACTTTGACTAACTGCTGTTAATATCTGTTATATGGCAATAGGCCTGCCCGGTGTTGGTACCTTGTCAAAGCGGGCCATAGTGCCCAGTGGTGTAACATTGTACTGATCTCTGTTACCAACTGGTAGAGCTTCGCATTTGACAATAAACCTGCTCGATTGATTTCAAACCTTGCCTGCATCTGTCGTTTCCGGGGCCTCTCAGAGATCTCGTGTTGACCCAAGTGCACGGGGTCTAACACTCTAGATAAAGGGAGTACCGATTGTTACGCACGCAGCCGAAAGTTTATCAACGGAGTAGAGGTCCTGTCAGGAGCGCGCCAGGACAGCCCTGACCAGACGACGCTGACACTGACAGTCCAGACCACTGAAGGTACCGAGGTACGAGAACACCGAGGTACGACAGCAGGGGAAGCTATTACAAATTTCAAGACATTGCTTGCATCCTTGACCAATTGTGAAGAAGAAGTCTCAGAACCATGACTTCCCCAGCTCCAACCTCACTGCCACAGAAATGTATCAAATCCAATTAAGTTTAAGAGAACAAAGCTATTTTTCAAGATTCCTGATTTTTTGGGGTTGCAACTCAGGCGTGATGTATGGTTTGGAACTTGTCCAGTTTCCTACATGCCAAGAAAAGTTTCTAGAGGGAATTAGGTGTGACACAGGTTAGCAAGCTCCCCTAGCAGGTTGTCACTTGTAAGGTAAGGAACCAGGAAATATACAAAGGGAACAAGAAGGTGCAATCTCCTGGAGTTATGCCCTAGGCTGCCCTCATCATAACATACACACTGAATCCCTCTTAAATCCATCCAGAAACTGAAGCTGGTGCAATTTAGCTGCCCACTCTGACTACAAACACAATCCTGAGCAAAATGATCTGCCTACTGGTTTCCAGGTGTTGAATTTAGCCCTTAAAACACTACATGTGTTGGGATCTGCCCAGCTTATCGACTTCCTTGTTCACAACTGCAGCAATCTGTCCAAGAGATGAGAGGAAACATTCTAGCTGGATGTTAAAAGGAAAGAGACTGCTGGCAGAGCAGAAGAAAATTGCATTTCCTTTGTAAAAACAATGCTCAATGTGTCTGGACATTTTTGGCTTGTTTATTTTAATGTTTAAAAGAAAAAAAAAATCACAAAGGACTTTCTCAGAGGGTCACACTCAGTAATGCAGAAGCAGGGATTTACCACAAACCTGTGAAACTCATGTACTTCTGACTGTTGGAGGTCTTTTTGGAATTGTAGAATTCCAGCACATCAAGCACGGCCTGGGGATTTTTCTTCTGTTCTGATTTGGTGATGTTGGAGGTCTGCAACAACCGAGCCCACTGCTCCGGCATACCCTGCGAGACACATTCCGAGCAGTTACCACAGTCACACCACAGTCGGAGGCACAGTGTTACACTCACCCTAAGGATGTCTAAAGCATGGTATGCATTTAGCTCAGCCACTCTGCTTCTGGGATTTTTCATTGTTTGTGGGAAGGCTCACTGGAATTAAACTCCTTCTCGCTGCCCAGTAGCGTAGGTTTGAAATCTACATCCTAATACTACAGTCTGATCCACGCAGTCAAATCCTCACGCTCATGTAGTTTCACTAGAGGTACTGGGTTCTGAATACCACAATTCAAATCCAGCTCCCAAAGTTCAAAAGAGGAAGAGGCAGACCCGGTGTTGTGGTTCAGGAAAGTCTCACATGCAACATAAGAAATGTACTGTCATGTGACTATCCACTTGTAAGATGGTGATAGTGGTAATTTGAATTGTAAGCTCTTTTACAGCACAGTCACCCAGCACATCAGGGCTCATCCTGATTTAGGCCTCCATATTGCTTTTGTGACATAGTATTTGGATAGGCACCAAATCACATTTTGGCCCAGTGCTGGTTGTGACCGTGTAGTAATTCACATCTAATGGCGTTCCCCCCCCACATACTAAAAGCAGAATTTCAGGACAGAAATATGGCTTTAGCCACAAGTGAAACAAATTCGGTGACCGCTTTTGTCAGTACCGGTGTGCTAGCAACTTCACAGGCTGGCCTCTAAAAAGGGCTCCTAGCCCTCAACAGCTAGTCTACATTCAAGGGTAGATTGAGAACCACTCGTAGCAGATCCACCAAACTGTGGGTCAGGACCCCAAGGGGAGCCAGTACCCCATTTTAATGAGTTCACCAGATCTGGCCTTAGATTTGCTGTGGCAGAGGCCAAAGTCAAAGCCCAAGCCCCACCGCAAAGCAATGGGCAGCAAGTCTCAGGCTTCAACTTCAACCCTGGGCAACAGGGCTCAGGTTACAGGCCAATGCTAAGGACTGAAGCCCTTGAGCGTGGGCCCTCCCAACCTGGGGTGGTGTGGCTTGGCAGACTCAGGCACCAGTCCCACCTCCGGAGATCACGTTGTAATTTTTGTTCTCAGAAGGGGATCGCGGTACAGTGAAGTCTGAGAACTGCTGTGCTATTCAGATGTGACAACTCTTGCATCTCGGTTAGCGCAGAAGAGTCTCAGAGGTGGCCATAAAGGCTGTGCCCCTCTGCACCAGGTGCGGGCAAGCAGGCTCAGCTCAGCAGAGTCCAACAGTGAAGGGGCATAGGGTGGGGGCTTAGAAAGGGCTCTATGTGGAGCAATCTCGGTGTAGACAGCTCAGTGATGGACCTGGGTACACAGGGGCTCGTTGTTGGTTCTGGATGAAGGGCTATGGGACACTGCAAAGGGGCCCAGGTTAAGGACGTTAACCAGCAGTTAATTGACTAGTTGATGGAATTTCCATTGACTACTCGATAGGCCCTTACACATTCCTCCTTTGAAATGTACAAGAGCCCCCGCTGCATTTCAAAGCCACAGCGCCCTCATGGAGCCTGGGGTAGTGGGGGATTCCCCCACTGACCCCGGGTTCCACCTGGCATTTCCCCGGAACCCAGGGTCAGCTGGGGACTCCCAAGCCTGGGATCAGCTGTGCGGCGCTGACCCTTTAAAACACCACCTTGGGGTTTCAAAGCAGAAGTGCACCACACAACTGATCCCCGGCTCAGCTTGCTGCATTGAAGTGACCCTTCTTCCCCCCCTTACTAGTCAACTAGTCCTTAACATCCTTAGTCCAGGAGAAGGTTGCAGAGGCTCAGCCATGGGGTCTGGGTCTAGATATAGGGGAGAGGACTTCATCAGGGTGGGGGTTTGATAGGTCTGCTTAATGGGGGAGCCCCCAGCTGCATCGGGGGATACAGTATACCAGGCTCTGGCTTCCCCATCTCTTCTCCCTTCCCCATCCCACAGTCTATCACCTCATTCCTTTTTCCTCAATCCCACATCCCATCCCCTTGCCATATCCCACCCTCCTCTTCCTTTCCCACTGCCTCTCCTCCTGATCCATCATGGGCACTCACCCTTGTACAGAAAACAGGAAGGCTCCCAGCACACAGAAGGGGAGCACAACCAACATTAGGACACAGGAGGTAGCATCCAGCTGCAGAGTCAACAGTTGGAGCTGAATCCTCCTTTATCTGGGCAGCTCTGTGCCCACAACAAATGTAGAACAGGAGAAGATGTCAGAGGCATATGACCCCATGTGCCTCCCTATGCCTTGCCTCTATGTATGGGGGAATGTCTCCACCAAACTACACCCATGGGCATCCCAAAACCCACGGCTCTGGGCACCGGACCCATGTGAACACATGGCTCTTAAGGCTTCCATATGGCTCTTAAGGCATCATTTTCTGCAATTAAGCAAAGAAATCTGCATAGGGACCTGAATTCTGCACCTGCACAGAATTCCCACAGCAGTATTCTATACACGAATTACACTAGGTGGGTTCTCTGGCCCATGCTATGCTGGTGGTCAGAGTAAATTATCATAATGGTCTCTTCTGGCCTTACTATAGGATGAGTTGAATACGTCCCAGCATCACTAATGATAAACAATTAGGTAATCCTCGTACCTCCCCAGAATCACTTACTGTGAATTCTCCTGTAACAGCATCAAATCCAACATGAATTGTGTGTTCAAAATCTGAAGGGAGGGAAATTTCTGGACGTTCTTTCTCTTTCTTTTTATTGGCTAAGAAAAAGAGAAAAACCATCAGGAACAAAAGAGAATGTCCATAGCATTTTACAGTACACTCTCTGCAACCAAATCCACACCAAAAACATATGATCTAGGACAATGTGAGAAGGTTTCTGATCCCACATGGATAAATCTTTATGGTTACATGACAACCAGTGTTCCCTGTAATCTGTGCACTTGTGCAGCTACTCAGGAGAGATTCAACTGCAGGCCAGCTGATTAGCAGAGCACCCACAACTAGATCTTTGGTTTCTACTGGTGGCGCGCATTTACACATGCCTCTGTGAACATAAAATTATTCCACACATGGATAGAAAAGATCAGAGGGAATATTGGGGACAACGATATTCAAATTAGATTTCATGATATTTGGATTTGTAATCCACACATGGTGCACAGAGGGTGACTAGTCCGCACGCAAATGTAAGAGACCATTCTATTATAGTTTACATTTTCCAGCTGCTGTCTTGTCAACTGCAAAACAAATGCTACTCAGTTGTATAGCCAGACATGTATTCATAGAACCAAAATGGAGATTTTAAAGTCACCCACCTACCCTAAAAGCCACTATTTTACTCCATTATATTGCAAGCGTATACCATGTTTTCCAAGTTTAATCAGGTAGTCTTGAGTCCTGTGCTTATAAGGCCATATCCTACTCTCAATTATACCCATAAAATCCAGAGTAACATTATAAAGGTTAATGGAGTTACTCCAGATCTGTAAAGTACTTTGTAACAGAGTATTATGAGGTCCATATTCTTAAGTGTTTGTCTAAAACAATATTAAGACCTTGGATTTTTTTCAGTTTCAGTGAAGAGTGAGTTAAATACTAACGGTTTTGGAGAAGGGAGGAATGAGAGATAGGCAGATGGAACATTGGAGGAGCCACATAGGGAGGGAAGCCAGAAGGAACCAGAAGCATCTTCTGGTTAGCAGATGTTGAGCCTCTGCAGCTTGCAGGCCAAACAAAGAAGGGAATAGCAGCTGCCGCTAGCAAGAATACAGAGAAAGCTGCAAGCTGCCAGCAGAGAGAAGGAAAGTGAGACAAAGGGACTCTGAGAAAACCAATAGATCAAGGAGGCTCAGGAATTCTAAGACAACTGAAACCCTTTGATTGGATCCTAGTGCACCACTGAATGAATATGTGAACCAGAGCATTAAAGAATGTTAGAACTTTTACTGCCCAGAATTCATGGCATAGAACATCTTTGGCTTCTATATTTGGACCTACTGAATGTCAGGGTATCCTGCTCAACACTTATATTTTGCATCTCTAGGGATACAACTTCTCGCTAATCAACATCTTCAGCATAATGAGCAAACAGCATAATGAGCAAGTCAAGCTTTGCTCCAATGATTGCAGCTACTGCTTTCAAATTCATATTAAATACAAAAATGCATATTCAAGAAGAAGCCTTACTAAACAGAGCTGTAGCTTATATAAGCCTCAGTTACACTGACTGGTAAACAATGTTTTCAATAATGAATTAAACAATTTAATTGCCTCTACTGCATTAAAAATTCATAACTCTCTCTCTCTCTCTCAATATCCAGATCTCATACAGAAATTAAATCGAGGTTAGTGCTATATTTGCTCATTATAGTGAAAAAAGTTGGGATTGGTCCTGCTTTGGGTTGGAGATTGGACTCGATAACTTCCTGAGGTCTCTTCCAACCCTATGATTGTGCTTTGTATACATATAGGACTTGAACTGTAATCTTTGTTGGGAATCTCATGATTCTTTCGGTGCCCACATAACTGAAGTGTAACCATGTGGTCTTATGGCTGTAACATTGGTTTTTCCTCATAGCATGTTTCCTACAGTTTATTAACCCCACTGGCTATGTCACGTCATGTCTAAAATTAGATTGTAAACTCTTTGGGGCAACCACCAAGGACTGGATTCTTATCTCACTTAATTTACTCTATTCCTCACTGATGTGAGCAAAATTAGATTTAAGGCCCACATTTTTCCAGCAGACTCTCATACACAGTTTTGGAGGCAGTAAAAATAACTAGAGAGACCTGAATTAAATAAGCATATTTAAGCATTTGAGTGGCTGCATTATTATTCTCAGCATATATGAGCTTGATCAAATTTAAGAAACACGATTTCGAAGTATGAATGGATTAAAATATTAATACTATAACTGCTTCTCATTGATGGTACTTTATCTCACATAATGAGGTATAGGTTAAGAAGGATTAGTTTTAAAGGCACTGCTAGCCTTGCTCTACACTTTAATCCCACTTTATAATCTTTATTGATCTCTTACGTTAGGCCTTGTAATGCCAGATAAAAAGACAAAAGAAAACTCTTTACAAGTTTCAAAAGAAAAAAAAAACCTGTATTTGTAGAAACACCCACTGTTGGTTACTTTATTTCCATTCATGCCCCCATTAAATTGTAAGGCTCAGGTGAATAAAGATAAACCAAAATGTATGTTTGAAAAATTTCAGAAGCTTCGGGGGTAGCCAAGTTAGTCTGTACAGGATGAGCTTAAAAAAAAACAAACAAATAAACGGTCTGGTAGCATTTTATAGATTAATTTCAGCTAGTGGCCATGATTGCATTTTCACAGCGAACCTTTCACAAACTAGTGAGTTTTTCTGTAATACGGCCAGACTCTGGGACCTGGGTACCTCTGGTGAAGATAGTCATTATCTCTCAAT